ACTACAAAAATTTCAACAGCATTATTTTACTGGCTTTGGTGGATGCCGATTATAATTTTATATATGTGGATGTGGGATGTAATGGACGTGCTAGTGATGGTGGGGTGTACAGTAATAGTACCTTATGTACAGCTATTCAAGACAATTTACTTAATTTTCCCCAAGATACCACTTTACCAAACTCGCAAGTCCAAGTACCGTTTGTTATTCTCGCGGATGATGCATTTCGGTTATCCAATCGAATAATGAAACCATGTGCACAAAGATCCAGTCAAGAAGACAAAATTTTCAACTATAGACTAAGCCGCGCTCGACGCGTTGTGGAAAATGCATTTGGAATACTTGCGAACCGATTTCAGATATTGCAACGAGACATCCGGTTAGATGTTGAAAAGGTACAAAGTATTGTTTTAACGTGCTGTACTCTCCACAACTTTATTAAAGAAAAGGAAGGTAAAAGAGTTTACCTAAAAGGCGTAGACATTGAAAACGTGAATAATGTCTCATTTAGTGCAGGAGATTGGAGGTCCAATGTATGTATGACAGATTTAGCAAGATGTAGTGTTAATCGTTCTCCTGACGATGCAATCTCTATTAGGAAACGCTTTGTTCAATATTTTAATAATGTAGGTTTTGTATCTTGGCAATGGGAAGCTATTAAAAACTTTAATTTCTAGAAAACTGTTTTATTTATTTAGGTTAATAGCATTTGGTGGGTGATCAACATAAAGAATTGTCGCTGTCTCGTTCTGTTTCTTGATTGTCAGCCATTTCTTTTTGCTGTCGTACAGGATTTTGTTAATCTCATGTTTGACGTCATTTAAAACGTCTTCATCGTCTATAGCCCGCAGTTCCCGGGCCACATAGTCAGCAAATACCTCAACATCACTTTTGGAAGTTTCCACAGTTGATGAAGCCGTTAATTTCGACCCTAAAATATCAAGCATGGAAACGGTCTTTGTCATAATCGGATCGGATATTTCCACTTCCTGGCGCTTTCTTTTCCCTCTAGAGGATTGTGGTGGTATACTCTCGGTTACACTTCTTTCGGTAGATGAAGAATCCATAGTGGCGCTGTCGATATCCAGAGCCTCTTCTTCATCATCATCAATAACTTGAGTCTAAAATAATAATAATACAAAGAAAAAATCTATCACAACGGTATAATGTCGTCGCCTACCAATAGGTCCAAAGAGCTTTTAGTTTTTCGTGTTTTTACATGAGGTATCAAAAACAAAAGCTTTTCGTACCACCAAACTGATGGCTCGTACATTTCTTCTGTGCCAGCACCGGACTTTTGGCTGTCGTGCATTTTGGTATTCTCGTGTGAAAACGACTGCCTCAAGCTGGTTAATTTTTTCTTAACATCGTCTACTGTTACCCGACCATCAATGTTTTTTAATTCATCCGTAATTTTCTGCAGTTTATCAGTCCTGGCGTGTTTATTGCTATAAAACTTATGTTTTGTGTCATATAAACATGGATAAGTTTCATATTGCTCTATCAGAGCTAAAGTTAGGTCTCTGGACCACTCCATCTTCAAACCACAACATAATTAGCTATTTAATTTAAAAATACATATAGTGTAACTTACCTTGTTTACCATTTTAACTTAAGAAAATTAACACAACCACTTTGACTTTGACTTTGACGTTAAGCTTTTAATAAAGTCAATTATAAAGGTAGTGAAATTTACGGTAATCATATGAAATATCATTTGAAAATAGATACGGTTCTAATTGCCAAAATTACTTGTGATTCCTTATTAATTGCTATGTGACCGCACTTATGAGTACTTTTAAGTGATAAAATCATACAGTGTAAACTTGTAATATTTACATATGACCAAATCATGTGATAAAACACATAATGTAAAGTAAGCTTAAGTAGATGCAATTAAATATGCAAATAGTAAAAATATGTGCCGCCAGTGTGGCGCCGCAAACTTATTTATCTAATTAAATATGCAAATAATAAAAATTCGTGCCACCAATTGCAAGGTTGCGGCCGCCCATTGGGGCCTCTATGGAAGTGCGTCTCAGCGGGTGAGAAAAACAACGCCAGTGTGGCGCCAGAATATGTCGCGCGCGTATCTGTATTTTTGCTTTACAAAATATATTTTTTTTTGATTTCTGGATTGCGTTCATGACGTTTACTCGATTCACTCGGTGTCTAGACTTTCACTTGCGTAAATCGTTCGTGACTACTAAGATATTTAACACCGATTTTACATATATAACCCACCTCTTGTGCGTTAAAACAACTCCGCATGCGCATTGTAGTGTGTTAATGTCAAATTTGAATTTTGGTTATTTGTGTTGACAATTTTTTTAGCAAATCCAGTGACGGAGATTGTTTAATATATATGTAGGTATTAAATAATATCATATAAATGTAATTATAATAAACTAAATTAACCTATTTTATAAAAAGATGTTTTATTTACATTTTAAAAAGATCCTCTTTCGCCAATTTTTTGATAAAAATGTCCTTCATTTGAGTTTCACCATTTTGAATTTTGGAATTCTGATTCCAGATTCATTATCAGCGAGCACAAAAACCCCTGTATGGTGATTTTCAATTTATTCCGTCAATTTTTTGACAAATATGTCCGCCATTTTGGATCTATCATTTTAAATTTTGGAATTCTGATTTCAGATTTTTTACCAGCGACCACAAAAACCCCTGTATGGTGATTTTCAATTTATTCCGTCAATTTTTGACAAATATGTCCGCCATTTTGGATCTACCATTTTGAATTTTTAAATTCTGATTCCAGATTCGTTATTAGCGACCCAAAAAACCCCTGTATGGTGATTTTTAATTTATTCCGTCAATTTTTTGACAAATATGTCAGCAATTTTGGATCTACCATTTTGAATTTTGGAATTCTAATTCCAGATTCATTATCAGCGTCCCCAAAAACCTCTTTATACGGATTTTTAGGAGAATCCGACTACTCCTTGATATCTTGCCGAAAATTTCGAGAATTGAAACACTTTGCGCCGCATTCAAAAATTATAAAATTTATTATCTTAGGTTCCTATTATAATATTTTTACAAGATATTTTCGTCAGTTGTTTTTAAAGATTTCAAATCATAAAAATCTTGTTTAATACAATTTTATACAAAAAGCACCTCAAGACAAGCGGTTGTGTGTCTTGGGTCCCGTTTAACGCGCACGTACTTCCTCCAAATCGACGTTCAAATTTAAGGAATCAATTAATGATTCTACACGTGATCCACCAGATCCAAGTACAAAAAGGGTGAAAATTGCGTGCGGCACCCCCTCCTGGATTAAGTCCCGAAGGGACCTGTGAAAAAGGGTAAACAACACGTGCTAATTGTAAGCGGTCGAGGTTAAGGAATAAATTCACCACGCCTATTAATTCACCTGAAGTCCAAGTCTGCAAAACCAGATAAGTAAATTAACTAAAGTGCATGACCGTATTAATACTTAATACTAAATTTGAAATACAAAAATTTTAAATCTCAAACAATAAAATCCACGTTTACATAAGAACAGCAAGCATAAACAAGCGTTCATATACATGCATAATCACTCAGGGTCAGTGGCGTACCAATTCGATGGGGTCCAACCATTAATTGTGTGTGTATTTTTGGTCGCATAATGTCGCGGCATGGTTACGCAACTCAAAATACACCCAATTAAACAGTAATTCGAATAACAAGCCTAACATAGCTAGCCTCTTAGACGAAGTTTGGTGGGAGCGGGGGCCCCTTATGCTGGTTTAGCGGATCCCAATACGTTTTAGAATTACTGATGGACTTTTACAAATAAAAAAAATACAGCTACACACTTTAATGTCTGTGGTTGGTTTGGCACTTGACAACATTCGAAGAATAAATTAGGTAACCAACCGACTAGGCGACAATAAACAACTACCCTGGTTAAAATGTCACATAGAGACCCTTTTGAAATCGATATATTTTTGTATCGGATTGTATGGTGTTTCCATAGGGTGTATCGGTATGAATAAGACCCATAGTTGGAATTTATGGTGGTTCTATAGGGATATCCTTCCTTGATTTATTTGCTACCGGTCTCAATAGGGAAAATACACATAAATGTAAAAATTTGTTTTTCTCCCATAGGACCCCATAGGTTTTAACAAAATTTTGTCAAATGTTTTACGGCTGCTCTATAGGGATATCCCTGTAAGTATATCCTTCCTTGAGTTATTTACTATCGGTCTTAATAGGGGAAATGTAGAAGTTATGGTGAACCGATTTATATGCGTTTAGTCCTCAAGGAATGTTATTTCCGAAGAACTATTTATTTTAGAAAATTTGTACCCGGTTTGGGAAGCATCGTGTCATTTGTTGTTGTGTTTTTGTCACTGATCATAAAGGTTTTTTGCCAAAATTTTACTTAATTTTTATGGGTAAGTTCATAGATAATAACAGTTATTATTTTTTATTATTATTTATTTTTATATAATTCCACTGTATTATAACCACAAAACAGTTTTCCAAACTGGAAGGTATTACCTACTTAAGCTATTATAGCTATAATAGCTTTTGCCTCAGGGGCACACCCATATGGTGTGTACGGGAACTAGCGATCCCGGGGTGCCTGAGCTTGAGTGGCAGCACTTGGCTGGCCGCTACACAAGTCCGGGTAGTGTCTGTAACGGAGCGTTCGGCTACCCGGCCAGCGTCTGATCCCCAGAGGGGCGGCTGTCCCCCAACCACCTGGCTGTAGGTATAAAAAGCGATGGAAGGAGACCATCTCAAAAAAACCAACCATGTAAGATGGAGGATAGAAAAAATCATCCCCAGGAGGGTCCGGCAACGCCGGGAATCCCTCTCCGCGCAAGCGGGCTGCCGCACGGATCTGGGAGGGGGGCACTACTTCCAATACTCCCATAAAAGAACCACAGCTCACAACACTTCAAACGATGCTACGAGTAGACAAGCAAGCCGGGGAGTGGTTTAAAGATGGCGGTAAAACGGTGCTCAGGGAGGACGAGATCGTAATGCTGGAGGAGCATAGTAGAAGAAGGTCCATAGCCAGAACGCCGCCAAAGGAAATAAGAGCGAGATTAACTCCCGAAACAACTAGTTTCCCTGAGGACAAAAATGAGTATGGAAAAAGAGGAAGAGGTGGGAAAGAAAATCCAGAGCAAATGCATAAGGAAATGACATACCTTGAGAAGCTAATAGCCCAGACATGCCAAGGGATAGACGAGATATACAAACAGACGGTAGAAATAACAAATACTAAGACGGAAACAAAATGTGCCCCGAGGAAACTGAATGACCTCGCCACCAAATTGAAGTCTATTAGGGTAAACAATTTTATGAAGGCAATACAGGAGGACCTAAGTCAAAAATGCCCCAGATTGAGTTCTGAGGATACAATACGACACACCTCAAGTGGGACACAACCCCACTCCCGCACAATAGGAACCCAAACAGAGGAAGAAATAGGAACCCAGGAAGAGACTGAAGCATACAACGCAATGGAGATCAGAGAGCTCATCGAAGGGACAAATGCTGGAGATGCAATGAAGGTATTCAAAGTACCATGGCTGGAGGAGGCCTATAAAAATACCAAGATTATGGAAGGAAATCCCCTAGGGGCACCAAAGGAATTCGACCAAGCCGTCTTCCCTCTGGAAAGCGAAATCACCCTCCTGAAACGGATACTGCGGCAGGGCAAGGACAAATATCCAGAGTTACTAGAACTTGAAAACGAGGAAACATACATAACCAGAACCGTACAAACAAGTAAGGAGAAAACAACGAACTTCATATACATGATAAGAGTGAAGGGACAGGAAGAAGGAGACATAATAAGCTCGGTACAAAGTCTAGCAAAGACCATGACAGAAAATGAAAGAACAAAGGTTGCAATCCCACGAATCAGCAATATCGAGGTAAACAAACTAAGAAAAATGATAGAGATTGCAGTAAGTGGCACGAACATAGAAGTCCATATCTACACGCCAACGAGAAGGGAAAAAAACTTGGCAAAAGCAAAATACACCAAAAGGAAGGCAGGAATGAGGAAGAAAGCACCCTGTTCGTAAAGGACGACAAGAAAACATATGCGGAACTGCTAAAGGATATCCGAGAGGAAATAAAGAGCGACCCAAACCTGAAGATAAAAACAATTAGAGAAACTAAAAAAGGGGAGTTAATGGTCACGATGAACAAACAAGACCACAATTTCGAGACATTAAAACAAAAGATAAAGGAGAAAATGGGTGACGACTGCGTAAGAGCCAAAAGAGCAGACAAAAATAGAAAAGTCATACATATAAAAGGCATGGATGCTCTGACGACGGAAGAAGAAATAATGGAGGCTCTAGATGACCGGGCTGGAGAAGGCAAAGAAATAGAGATTACTAGCCTGAGACCTGCATACGGTAACACAAAAATTGCAACTATTAGGACTAGGGAAGCAATATCTAAAATTTTACTGGAGACAGGAAAGATATATATAGGGGTGTCAAACTGCGAAATGTATCTGAGGAAAGAAATAAGGAGATGCTACAGATGCTGGGACCACAACCACATAGCAAGGGAATGTCAAGGCCAGGATAGAAGTAAATGCTGCAGTCGCTGCGCACAGGAAGGGCACATAGCGAAAGACTGTCGGAACGAGCTGTACTGCCCTCTGTGCAATAAAACAGGCCATAAAGCTGGCAATGCGGGATGCCCCAAATTTAGAAAGGCAGCATCTTCAACCTAAAAATGCTACAACTTAATGCAAATAGACGCGTGGTGGCACATGAACTATTAGAGGCCACTGCACAAAAACAAAAAATAGACATCCTTCTAATAAGTGAGCCAAACAAAAGATATATCTCCTCTCACAGATGGTACAAGGACCCAGAGGAGAACACGGCAATAAAAATTAATAACCCAAAAATAGTGATACATGGCGCAGGAAATGGAAGTTTTTTCACATACGTGGAACTGGAAAGATACAGAATATACAGCAGTTATCTGTCTCCGAACATCGAGTTGGATAAATTCATACAAAGCCTAGGCGAACTACAGGACAGCATCAAACAAACGAGGAAACGAATCATAATAGGTGGGGACTTCAACGCCAAATCCCCGGAGTGAGGAAGCAAGGCTGAGGACAGAAGAGGAGAAGAACTCACACTTTGGATGGCCGGTAATAAATTAACAGTACTAAATGACGGGCTGCAACCCACTTTTGTACGAGGCAACCAGACCTCGTACATAGATATCACCTGCGTAACAGAAGACGAGGCCGGGAACGTAAACCGCTGGGAAGTAATGGACCAAGAAACACTTAGTGACCACCAATACATATATACAGAAATAAGCACCAGTAGCTTCGAAAGCGAAAACCCTCAGAGAAATCACTGGATAGTCAGAAAACTAGACAGAGACAAATTCGTAAGTACGTTCACAACAGAAATCGAAAAGACAAGGGTACAGAATATGGAACAGTGCATGAAGTGCATCACCAAAAGCTGTGAAGCAGCTATGCCAAAAGGAGGCAAAAACAATGCAGGCCATTGCCTAAAAAAGATCCAACTGCGTAGCGCTAAGAAGAAAAATGACACGAGAGAGAAAGAAAGGGCGGACTGATGAATACCAAGTAGCTCTAAGTAGGTACAAAATAGCAAAAAAGGACATAGGTAGGGAAATCCATAGAGCAAAAAACAACAAATGGCAGGAACTGTGCCAGGAAGTGAAAAATGATGTCTGGGGACAAGGGTACCAGATAGTTATGGGCAGGGTTGGCCAAAAGAAACCTGCGAACATTCCAGGGGAGACCGTGGGAAGAGTCGTGGAAGAGCTGTTCCCACAATTTGAAGAGAAGGAGAGGGAAAAGATCACTTTGGAACCAGAAGACTTCATACCGTTCAATAAAGAGGAAGTAATAGCAGCTGCCAAAAAGCTAAAAAGCGGAAAGGCAGTCGGTCCCGATGGAATCCCACCTGAAATTATTAAACTGGCAGTAGAAGCAGCTCCGCAATACATGGCGGTGATCATAAACGATTCATGTAAGAAAGGAGTCTACCCTCACCAGTTCAAGAATGCCAGTCTTTCAGACCCCTGTGTCTCCTGGACACCATGGGCAAACTGATCGAACAAATGATTGTTGGGTTATACAGGCTGCGGAGGAGGAGATGAGGAAACCCCCGAAGAGAAGGAAGTTATGCGCGCCCATAACAATAGATGTAAAGAACGCATTCAATACAGCGTCCTGGGAGCTCATCAACAAGGAACTGAAGAGTAGAGGAATTTCCAGGTATCTGTTGGCGATCATAAACAGCTACTTAGAGAACAGATATCTAATGATAGGAGAAGACCATACATATAAAATGACTGGAGGGGTCCCGCAAGGGAGCATTCTTGGCCCAACACTATGGAATATACTATATGACGGAGTCCTCGAACTGGCTGTCAATCAAGGAGTGGAGACCATAGCATATGCCGACGACCTAGTGGTCGTGGTTGTGGCCGAGAACGAGGAGCTACTAATGAAAAACGCCAACGACGCCCTAAAGGAAATCAGTTTGGTGGATGAAACGGAATAAGCTAGAAGTGGCTGCTCACAAAACTGAAGCAATACTAATGGTGGGCAAAAAAAGACACGGCAACGTTAGATTCCAGCTGCAGGACAGCATAATCACGCCCAAGGCAAGTCTTAAATACCTCGGCGTCTTCCTGGATAAGAAACTAAAATTCGGAGAGCACATTAAATATGTATGCGGGAAGGCGGATTCTGCGGCGACGGCGCTATGTCGCATACTACTGTAATGCCCGGACTTAAGGCATTGTGAGGTGTTACATTAGGGTGGTAATGAAACGCTGGTGGTCGGCTTGAAGGTTCGTATCGAACCCTGTTTATTGAATAATAATATATTTTATTACAATTATGATGTGGTCAAATAATGCTTATTGCACAGTTTGCACTTTGCGGATTATTGACCTAAGAATGTTAAGTGTCATCATTATGTACAGTGAATGAACTATGTCTCTGCACTTCCCCGAAAAATTAAAAAAAAATGTTTTTATATATTTTTACATTTTTTTTTTGTTTTTTTTTACGTAATACTTATCCTAAGCTATTCTAACATTAAGAAATAATATAATGATACAATAATATGATCTATTATCTATTATGTTTTTATTAACTATTACAATTCCCATTAATTTTAAGTTATATAGAATCCTAATTATACGTAATACATTTTATCTACTAACCTATATACATATCAGCGCTGATTTATATCTACTATAGTAGTATAATTACATAAAAAACTACAAGTTACCTGATACACTTATTCTATATATGGTTTTATCCTATCCTTATGAACTTTAATAACCTTATTATTGTCTAATTTAATAAATACATTAGGACTTACATCCTCTATTACTAAATATGGGCCTTTAAATATGCTTTCTAGTTTATTTCCTGTTTCATTCTTTAACATAATTTTGGAATTAGGTTTATAATTTATGCTGTTACTTTTTAAATCAAATCGTTTTTTTCTTTTAACTTTTGATTCAATTAAATTTTGTTTTGCATCATTCCAAGCTGTTTGCAACCTATATTTAAGCTCTAAGGGATAATCATTAAAATTATATAAGGGGTCTATTTTTCTTATAACGTGTGATGGTAAACTGGCTGACTTTCCAAAAACAAGTTCGTACGGTGCGTATTTGGTTTCCGAATGTACACTAGTATTATAACAAAATGACCAAAAGGGAATCCATGTGCTCCATGTTTCTGGATGTTTAGAAATTTGAATGCGTAAATAGTTACCTAAAGATTTATGATTATTTTCTAATGCACCAATTGTCTGGTGGTGATAGGCTGTTGAATTAAGTTTTTTAATTTTAAGTAGTTTACATATTTCCGAAAAAAATTTGACATAAATTCTGTCCCTTGATCTGTTAATATTATTTGTGGTACGCCATATCTTAATATAAAGTTTTCTACAAAAGCTTTGGAAATGGTTATTGTTTCCTTGTTTTGAATTGGATTACATTCAATAAATTTCGTTAAATCACATTGTAATGTTAAAATATAACGATTGCTCTCTGAATCCATTTCTAATGGTCCTACAATATCTAACATAATTTTTTCAAATGCGGATGAAGAAGTGTTAACGTCATTGGTTCTTTAAAAGGTTTTGAATATTTATATCGTTGACAATCATCACATTTTTTAATAAATTTTTCTACATCAGATTTTAAACCGTTCCAATAAAAATGTATTTTAACATTGTTATAAGATCGTTTTATTCCCGCATGTCCACCTGTTGGTAATATGTGATAGTCATTTAAAATTAATTGTCTAGTTTCTAAATCTGTTATTACCTGAACTCCTTTTACTACTGTTATTCTAATATTTAATTCTTTAACTTTACTGGAAACTTTTAATAAATTAGATATAAGTTGCGCGCTATTTTCATTTCTAATAATTATTACTTCCGGAAGATTATATTTTTCAAAAATATTTTTCAGGTGTCTCAACGACGCTGATCGACTATCCTGAACATTAATATAAATAATATTTAAACTTTTATCATAAATACAGTTTCCATTTACATAAGTAAAGTTTTTATTACTATACATTTTATTAATTAATTTATTGTCAATTGGTCTTAATTCGGTAAATTCATCAGGACATTTTAACACTTCAACAACGCCCGGGTGGCCAGTCCGTTTGTTGGAAAAGTTATTAAATGTATCCGTTTCTTCATTTTGTTTGTTTTGGCGTTCTTTTTGTGCCCGAGTTGTTACTGCAAATATTAGATCTTCTGTTTTACTGGACATATTTTTTAATTCGTCTGATGTTAATTCAATTCGTGGTAAAGCATCCGCTACAATGTTGTCTTTACCCTTAATGTATGTTATTGTAAAGTCATATTCTTCTAAGGTCAGTCTAAATTTTGTTAATCTACTACTCGGATTTGTCATACCAAAAAGATAAATTAAAGGTCTGTGGTCTGTAAAAATTTTGAAATGTCGTCCATATAAATATGGTCCAAAATGTTTAACTGCCCATACGATAGCTAAAAGTTCTTTTTCAATTGTACTATAATTTTTTTCTGCTTTATTGAGGCTTCTACTGGCGTAAGCGATAGGGCTGTCGTCTGAGTTTGAAAGTACTGCTCCGATTGCATAGCCCGAAGCATCAGTCCTTAAGGTAAAATGATTGTCTAAAGAAAAATTTGGATAATGTAATACTGGGGGATTTGCCAAACTGTTTTTTAATGATATAAATGAATTTTGACAATCGTCTGTCCAAACAAAAGGTACATTTTTTCTACCTAAATTATTAAGCGGTGCAGCTATGTGTGCAAAATTGTTTATGAATCTTCTGTAATAATTTGCAAAAGCTACAAAACGTTTTGTTTGGTCTGCATTTTTTAATTCTGGGTAGTTTTTAATGACTGAGATTTTAGATGGATCGGGTAAAACTCCTTGTGATGATATGACGTGTCCTAAATATAAGATTTCTTTTCGCAAAAACTCACATTTATTGGGGTTTAATTTTAATTTAACTTTACGAAGTCTCTGCAATACCTTTGAAAAATTTTTATTATGT